CTTTCACTGTCTTCATCCTCCTTCATCTGTGAAATGCCAAACTGTGGCGCTGTACGTGCGTTTGGTATATTTAAACGGGAAGAGGGTGGTGGTGGTGTGTGCAAACTAGTGAATTGTGATTTTGACTGCTTTTAATTCCCACCCCACGAAACAGAAGCAGTTTGATCCGTACAGAAAACTGAATTCTGAGATGATGTACAGTTTAGAAATACTATATGTCAACAGCTCCAATTAGGTTACTCAACTTTAATAATAGGATAGCTCACTGCTTTGTTTTATTGTGACTGTCTTCGATTGCAGTGGGATATTGCTGAAAGCAAGCACCCTTTGAGAGAGTAGATGGTGCATGTTGACATGTACACTTGTTCTGTTGTGATACGCATTCAGCACCCTACTTTCTGCAGTTCCAGGGTTTCCTTGTGATTTCTTGGGGTTTTTTTTCCCCCTCCCCTCCACCCCGTTCCCTGCCAGGTGTTCAGTTCCCGACAAGCACTGAATGGCCACGCTCGCATTCACGGAGGTACCAACCAGGTGACGAAACCACGCTGCACCATTCCTGGCACCAAGCAGAAATCTGGTACGCAGAGCGGATACTGCTCCATCAAGAGCTCACCTGCCCACAGCACAACAAGCGGCGAGACCGACCCAACAACAATTTTTCCTTGCAAGGAGTGTGGCAGGTAAGTGTGACTTTCTGCAGGACAGCATCGCCTTTGCCTGTTTAGATTCCAGATCAGCAGTGCTGTGAACAAACTTTGTTTTTGCTCTGATTGTCTTGGAAGAAGTTTTCCCCCTAGATTATATGTTCTCTTACTAAAACTGTCACAGATAGGTTTGCATGACATTTTGAATGCCCCTGCAGTGTTTATTCCTATTTTCCACTTACCTACTAGAATTTCTACATCTGACATTTTAACTTCTTGCTTCATCACTGACTTGAATGTGACAGTGGGCAACTTTTTCTGTGTTTCTCTGCTTGAGTTTGTCCATCGTGGTAATCCTTCACTTTCTCCCCATTGTGCAAAATGGTTGTGAAACTGATAGAGGGAAAATTAGGATGTGCATAGATACTGAAGCAGGTGTGGGAGCTACAAACTACCTCTGGCAAAATCAGAGTAGGCCATTTTGATACCGTGAGGATGTATAAATCTAGTAATATGTCCCTGAAATTCACACCATGGCATTGCAGACTTCACTGACTTCTATTTCAGGACAAGGAAGCAAATGTACTGATAAGTTGTTGAGTCTTTTTTGGCTCATTTCATCAAAAGCAGTGCATTTTAATCTGATATTTTTTTTCCTTAAAATTTAGGGTCTTTTTCAAAATCAAAAGCCGCAATGCTCATATGAAGAGTCACAGACAACAAGAAGAACAGCAAAGGCAGAAGGCTCAGAAAGCTGCTGTAGCAGCAGAAATGGCAGCCACTATTGCAAGAACTACTGGGCATGCTGGGCATAGTTTGATCCCCCTGGATCACATGAGCTTGGTTAAACATGTTGAAAGTGTTGGTGACATTGATGATGATGTTGTTCCGGATCTGGGTGATGTCATGGAAGAGAATGAAGTCATGGATGCTGACCTCTTACTGGATGATGAAGATCCAGATCTACTGCAGGATGATGCTGAGTTGTAAATAAAGTTGTTTGATGGACGGCTACTGAGCACACCCTGAATGGATCAATCAGGAAACCTGGACTGCTTGTTTATTCCCACTGATTGTAAACTACCTGTTGAAAATTATAATTCTTTTATCCAGGTCTAGAAAAAAAATCTGCTTTTTCTCTTTTTTTTTATTAATTTGTGTTTTAGGGGAAGAAATAAATAATTGGTACAAATATTCTTATAAAGTGTTTTTATCTGAGCTCTTTTTGCTGATAACTTCCAAGGCCACTAATTACAGAAGTTTATGGTTCTGCTATCAGTTCCTACCAGATGGTTCTGGTAGAAACTTTAGTCTTTAACTCTTCCAATTTTCATTTTACCCCAATTACAAGAATAAATTTCACACACTTGTGATGAAACTTTTTTTTTTGTCTATATGGGATCATTTCCAGCATCTTCTAGAGAGTAAATGTCATCTCTCTTAAAGATATGATCATATTATTTGTCTTTGTGCTGCCATTTTAAGCGAGATGGAGGGGAAAAAAAATCTGGTTTAACTGTGAAAGAGTTAGTAATACGCAGTTCATTTTCAGTTCTGTCTTGGTTACACAGGACAATTTAGACATTCCATTTTAGCAAGGTTTTGATCTGCTGATTTTAAAATTACCTAATTTCCAGGATTGAAGAAAGAAAATTATTGTTCTATGGTTTACGTCCTCTGATGGGGACACTGAATCAGGAACACTGCCTTGGTAATCAGATTGCACTGGAAATATTGTCCTGTGACAATAAATCACACTGTGGAATAGCCATCTCTGTGGTTTTAGGGGAATGTGTGCTCAAGCAATGCTTCTTGCTCTCTCACCAGGCAAACACAGGGAAGCATTCTTGCCATTGGAGAAGAGACTGATATGCTTTCAGGACCTAGGTATAATGTGTTATTCTTGTGCCATTTTCAGTCCTCTTCATTACATCAAATTCAGTCCTTGTTTATTACTACAAACATGCTGCAGAGGTGAGTTGATGTTGCTGTTTAATGACCATTTCTCTTCCCTTAGGTTCAGATCTACATGCTGGACACCTGACACAATTTATATAAATTTAGATTTGGTTCTCTGATTAAACAGGATATGAAAGAATTGTACATTGCAGAATAAAACAAGGAAGAAATGGAGTTAGTTTGAGTGGATCTTTAATTACAGAATACGAATGCTGATTGCAGAGCTCTCACAGGCAGCAGCACTGATTTTCTTGTGAATTTTGCACAGTAGAGAGGAGTATTGTTAACTTTATAAAATACTTTATAAGACTTATTCACATCTTCCAGGCTTCAGGTTTGTTTGGGGTTTCTTTTATGGGTTGGGTTTTATTTTATCGGGTTCTTTTTGCCATATTCCTAATATCTTCACCAGAATCTGAGGGATGGTGGGTCTTATTTTCTACTTGTTATCCTTGTTTAACTATGCAAAAGGAGGCTAAATCACAGCACTTTTATAGGAGTTACTGGACCACACAAGTTCAGAACCAGTGGGACCCACTGACAGAGGTGCCTTCTCTGTCAAAGCCAAGTATGTGAAGCCAAATGACCTCAAGTTTCTGCTTAAGTTTCAATGTTCTGATGTTAAAGAACAGCCCTTCAGGAGAATGGAAATAACTTCTCAGTTTCTGGTTAGTGAAGTTCCTGTGTGTGTGATTGTTTTAGTGTTCAGGAGGTTTTCCAGGGGTTTTTGCTGTAGGGTTTGACCAGTGGGTGGAATTTCAGTCCTGTCACATGAGAGGTGATGCTCTCAGTCATTGTACCCTTGAGCCTCAGGAGATCAGACAGCAGGAGTCTTTCCCAACCTGCCACTCGGCACGTTCCCCCAGCAGTTCCAGTCCATGCTGTGACATTTTACTTTTACAGGGGCCATATGAAACCCAGGTTCAGCAGACTGGGTGCTCAGCTGTGTAGTACCAGCAAAACCCACTGACAAAAGATCTCATAGATACTGCATGTCTTCATGGTTTGCCAAGTGGAGGCTTTTGTGAGCATTAAAACGTGCTGGCTTTCAGTAGTCTCTGTTAGAAACAGCCCAGCAGAGTCTGTTCTTCCTTTCCCTAGCTTGTATAATTTTGAACCTTTAAGGATCTGTGTAAGAAAGGCTCTACACTAGAAAATGGGCAGGTTTTCAGGCTCCTGGTGGTTAAAAACTGTTTAAGCAAAATGATGATTGAAATCAGAGTTCTGCTTGAAGAACTGAGTGAAATACAGTAGAAATTTAGGGGCTTGATTCTGAAGAGCAGCTCTGTATTAAAGAATCTACAGTGACACTTCTTTTTAGTAACAGTTGCACAGGACCTGTGCTAAGCTTAGTATCTATAAATATATATATACACATACATATGCCTGGTTAAGTAACTTTAATTGGGTGCTGTTTTATTGTACAGCCAAGAATAGAACAATGATAACCAAAGAAGTTATTCATAAAGGAGAAAAAAGAAATGCACATTTCCTAAGCAGTACATTCTTTAGGCCTCAAACATTTGACTTCATCATTAAGTGTTGCATTGGCTGATGTTAAATGTGCTGTTCTGCCTATTTGTACATGAGTTGAACATAGTTTTGTTTCAGAAAACTTTTTTCTTGCTGATGGTTGATGATGGAAAACTATTCAATATTGGAGCTAGTCCTCTTTGATAAAACGTGTACATACAGAAAACATATTTTATGAGAAAAATCTTATTTTCAATATTTAACTGTTATTTTATTAGAAGATGGTTGTGTAAATATTTTAGGCGTTTTAGTGTAAAAAGCAGACTGTAATTTTAGGTGGCAGAGGAAGTAACAAAATAAAAAATATATATACATTTGATAGAGCTTGTGATCTATGCTGGTTTCAGGTTCCCGTTGTTAGCATTTGACTTGCACACAGCTTAATTTCAGGTTAATCTCACTCTACACTGCCTACCTGATTGTGTCTATTTAAGGATGGTTTAGTGGCATAAATTAGCACTTATTTATTTCCCCACCCCTGTAAAGATTTGGTACCGATCAGAAGCTGTGTTGTATTATTAACCGCAATTTGTATGTATAAAAAAAAAGGGTTTATGTGCCATTGCCAGTCATTTTTATATATCGGTAAATACAGTCGAGTGGGTTTTCCTCTAACGGGCTTGTATCCCTTTAAAAAATATTTTTACGAGCGGGGAGAAGGTTGAAAACTTGGCTTCGTGTAATTGGTTTAGTTTTGTTTTTTTTCAAGGATTCCTAGAGACCAGGACGGGGAGCGCCTGAGGGGGCCGGCAGCCGTCCTTGGCGGGAGGCGGCTGAGGGGGAGCCGCAGCTCGGAGGTGCTGCCCTGAGGCGGCGCTCCGGGGAGGCGGCAGCCGGGGTGGGGAGCCGAGCTGGGGGCTCGTAGGGCTCCTTCGGCGCCGTGGGAGCTCCCGGCTCGCCTGCGCACCCCCGAGCGCTGCCCGCGGGCAGAGCCGCCGCAGCGGGGGAAGGCGGTGCGGGGAAGGCGGTGCGGGACGCGGCCGCTCTTCTCCTTCCGGGCGGTGCAGGGCGCGCAGGGGCGGAGCCAACATGGCGGCGGGGTGGCTGTGGCGGCGGCTCTGTCAGGTGCGGTGTGCGGCGGGAGAGGGGACGCGTGCCTCGTCCTCCTCCTCGTCTTTTTCCTCGGCGTCTTCATTCCTGAGGGGAGTGGGAAAAGAGGACGTGGCAAATGCTGTCCTTCGGGCTCCGGGAGGGCTGGGGCTGTGCAGCGTGGGACGGTGTCTCTGCACGCCATCATTGCCTGGCGGGTCCTCAGAGCTCTTCGCTGCAGTTCTGTGGTTTTCCCGCACTTAGTCCGGGTGGAAGGGATAGTGAAGAATAGGTGACTTGGATTTGGAGGCCGTGTGCTAGGCGAGTTTATAGTCTAAAAAGTTTCAAAGCTTGGAAGTTACGATGTAAAATTATGGGAAAGTGTAGTGCACTGACGATGTTTACTAGTTTGGACTTAAAAACAGTGATTGTTTTCTCTCAAATTGAGAAAATTGGATTTTCTGAAGCCCTAAACTCTCTTCTGTCTGTGTAGTGTGTTCTGGATTTGCCTTTCAGGCGTCTGTCTCCCCCTCACACTTCAGAGGCCCTCAACCAAACAAAATTAAGCCTGTTTTGCACTAGGAGAGGGGTAATTATGTTTTGTGCGAAGTCTTGGTTCTGTTATATTGCAGTCTTTGAGTGTCATTTCCACCTTCTATGATGGCCATTAGCAAGAGCACATCATTAAATCAGACAGTGAAGCTGTTTATGAATTCCTGCCCACTGGATGTCATATCTACCACTTGAGGTATTCAGTGTAACCTTTTGTCAAAATTTGCATAGAACACCTTTAATTTAATGTTACAAAAACTTTTGATGCAGATCTCCTTAATTAGTAACAAAGGGAGATGGCATGTAGGAACAACATGCACAGTCATAGAATATTGGAAAGGCTGCAGACCTTAGTGTGTGGGATAGGACTCTACTGCTTAATTGGGTTTTGTTTTATTCATTTTTATTGCATTAAGACTGAAATTTTTGTACCTAAAACCACATAGCACAATACACTATGAGTGCATTTATCTTTGCATGCAAATAAGTCCTTATTACCAAGTCAAGTAGTTACAAGTAAAAGAATACATAGCATAGACTGCATATGCACATGCATTAAAAAACCCCAAACAGGTAAGAAATTCAGTTATGATTACAGTTAATAGCCTTACATTTGTCATCTGGGGTCAGATTCTGTGTCATATACTTGCACAAACAGCTTAAGCCCTGCACTGAACAGTCTTTTATGCTCATGAGCTGTCTGCTTCAGAAGTGGTGCTAGGTGATTGTAACTGTACTTCATACTGGCATTGAATGGAAGGGAGGCAGCATTCTGGCTTCAGGAAGACAGACTTGAGGTGCTAATGTCAAGATAATTTTACCATAGAATCGTAGGCCTGCATTGGAAGGGACCTTAATGACCATCTATTTCCATCCCCCTGCCGTGTGCAGGGACACCTTCTGCTAGACCAGGTTGCTCAGAGCTCCATCCATCCTGGCCTTGAACACTCCCAGGGATGGGGCATCCTCAGTTTCTCTGAGCAGCCTGTTCCAGTGCCTCACTACGCTCCCAGTCAAGAATTGTTTTCTAATCTCTAATCTACCCCTACCCTCTTTCAGTTTGAAGCCATTCCCCCTTGTCCTGTCACTATGTGCTCTTGTCCTCTATTTTATTAGATGTCATTAGACAATTACTAGCTGCATTTCACTACTTTTAGCTACTGAGGCTCAGGTAGTTACCAGCATAAACTTTGAAACCTTCTGAATGATTACCAACTACAGTGACAAGTATTCAGTGCTGCTAAAATTGCCTTTTTTGTTCTGTGCTTAAAGAATGTGACAGTAGTGCCTCTGTGAAGATCTGGGTTTGAAAGGATTGCTTAGGGGGAGGCATTTGTACCATAGTCAGCTTTGTAAACAGAAATCTCCCCTGCCTCTTCCTGCAGGCATCTTCTTTATGGGAAGCAGCAGTTGTGGATAAATTGTGACTGAGGCACAATTACTTCAGAAAGCAGTTGTGCTCACTGCTGATGTATAATGAATGTGTGATGCATACTGGAAAAGGTTCGGAGCCTGGTAGCATCACACAGTCAGTTATTCATATCCACGGGCAGCTACAGCAAGATTACCTGAAGGAGTGTGAAGTCTGGCTGTTTTCTGATGGTTTGATTAGACAGTCACCTGTATAACTCTTGGGTGGAGTATCTGTCTTCTCTTTTAAAGCTGTGACTCCAGCACATGTTGGAAAGGAGCATCACGGGGCAAGATATGTAACTAATTTGGCTTCAGCATTTTGCTGCAGCCCCGAGGTTCTGTTAAGCAAGAGTTCCTTCTCCCCCAAGTAGTCTGTAACTTTGCCAAATTAAGAATTAGTGGAAGGAAGCTAGAAGCCACAAAATGTTCAGAAGGGAACAGTTATTCTAGTATGAAAGATAGTAATGTTGCATGATTAACAACTATATTTCTTTTCTAACACAGAAAATCATGTTATCTTTTAAACATGGTTCATTGGCTTGAAAGAAGTATTTCTATTTAAATGTTCTCTTCAAAACAACAAGTGTTCAAAATCACAAGGAACTTTTTTCTTTAAAAATCAGTAAATTTCCAGTTAAATTCAGAGACTAAATTTTTGCATTTATATGATACTGCTTTGAATTGCTTTGTAAAGTCCTACTTGTGCTTGTCACTTGACAAAACTTATATATGTTGTACCATGATAGTAAAACTAAAGATAAAATATTATTGTGTACAGAAATAGCATCTGATGCCACAAAAATACATTTTTCTGTTAAAAATATGCTTGTGATTGCTCTTCAGGTCCCCCAGTAGTAAGTGCATACTGTTGCTGTGTCCTTAACGTGCTTCTTTTTTTAGGTGCTATTGTATACTGAAATACATTTCCATGCTCCTGTTGTCCTGTGTTTTCCAATGGAGCAAACTTCGTAGTTTGTCAAATCAGTGCCTAGGAATGTGCTGTGCTTTGGTGTGCAAAAAAGTAATCTTTAATACAGCTGTATTGACTGGCTGTTTTCTGGTTTGGGGAAAATCACCATAAAATATCTTATCTGTTTTATACAGGGATCAGCTTTTCCTGTCAGTTATGCAAGCAGAATTATGCAAAAGCAGTATTTTCTTCCGTAAGTGTAACAGCCCCTCCTCCTTCCACTGCTCCTCCATAGTCCCTGAAAAAATAAAATCCAACTTTAACAAGTTCTTTTATGCTTTTCCCATTTCTAGGAGCTCCACCTTGACAGGAGCACGGCTGGTTGGATCCCATGGTGATACACAGGAGCCTAAGACTAATCCTTTGGTGAGTGTTCTCTAACACAGTATTTTATAAATTTTCTTAGTAATAAAAATGACATCTAGAAAAACTTGAATTATTTTCTTGCAGCTTTTTGAAGGTCTGTCATAGTGATGGCAAATTTATCATAGAGAAAGAAATAATTTAGATTGGTATTTGAGATCTTCTGTTTTGGTGTGGGGTTTTTTTTTCCCAACAAGATTTCTGTAGCTCGCAGTTCCTTCTCAGTAACTTTCTCCCTTTTCTGTTTCATAGAGTTACAACTCTATGAAATACATGAAATACCAGCTTTTTGGCCATATTCAGTTCAATGCCTGCAGCCTTTTGACAAGGGCATCAGAAACATCTGACAGGCAGTATTAGATCTACAGTGCTGCTCCAGCCTTCCTGCTGTGGCTGGTACATGCTGGATTTAGTGTGCCAAACTGCCTAGGAGTGAACCTCTGGGAAAATCAGCACTTCTGCACTCTTTAAGGCTCTTCCAGTTGATCAGTGAGCCCAGACCATCAGAAATTGAAGCCCTAGCTGAAAGTCATAAACTTGCACTTGTACAAACATGAAGGATAATACACCTGGGGAAGACTACTGTATTTAAAGAAGTCTTGGAGCTTAGTAAAGTGAGAATTCTGGTTGCTGTCCATAATGGTCTGTTTTATTTCTATACTCAAGCAAACTCTGTTTGCCACTGCTCTATAAAATACAAATTGTGCTCCAGACTTGCTTCAACAATGAGTTTTGTTATTGCTGTTGCTAGTGTCATTCTCCTTAGAGATATAAGGATCTGGCATTCCTTTTTTGGATGAAGAAATTTTACCTAAATGTTCAGAAGTTAGCTATCTCTTCACACTTTGTCTTCCCTCATAGAGTGAGACCTGTCAGTCAAAGTAATACAGGCAGACTCTGTTAGATAAAATAAGCAGCTTAACAGGTTTGTGGGGTGTTTTTTTTCTTTTACAAATGGGGCATACAGGCAAAGGAAATACGCAGTGCATGCATTAATTAAGGAGAACATGGTGTGGTAACTCTTGTCCTTTCTTCAAAAATGCAGGTGTCTATTTCAGATGAGCCAGAAACACTGTACAAGAGATTGTCCATTTTAGTTAAAGGCCACGATAAAGCTGTGTTGGACAGCTATGAATATTTTGCAGTGCTTGCAGCTAAAGAACTTGGCATCTCTGTTGAAAAAGTGTAAGTAACTGATCTGTAGAGTGATATGGAGTGAGATGCTTCTGTTATGTACTGTAATTTAGGTCCTCTGTGGAGAAGTATTTTTTTTCTTTTTATAAGAAATGGCTGTAATCTGACTTTTTTTTTTCTCAGATTACAGACCTAACACTTCTTTGATGGCAGGACAGTGATGAGAAAGCAGCAGCAGATCTGCACTCAGCACTGCCATGGTGGAAGTGCTTTTTATCTTCAGGAAGGATACTGACTGTTTTCAGTACAGCTGTCAGTGCTGTAGCTTCCCTGACCCAGTGCTGGTTAATACCCGAGTGTTAACCATGCCTGTGTGAGTTAATAACAAACTGTACCAGTGTTTGACAGTTCCTTGTAGGTCTTCTAAATGTCAAATAAGAACAGAGATTTCAGCATAATCTTTCAGATAAACTTTTATTATCATCCTTTATATAACATGAACATTTTTTTCTTCTTTGCTCAGAGATAAACCCCCAAAGACGATAGAGCGATTTACACTTCTCAAATCTGTACACATTTACAAGAAGCACAGAGTTCAGTATGAAATGAGAACACATTACCTGTGTTTAGAGGTAAGAAAGAAGGAAACTAAATTGTTCTAGGTGCACAGTTCAAAGATATTACTACACGCTAATGCACAAATGAAAGTGTTTTGGGGAGGAGAATGCAGGAGAATATTGGAAAACAGCTGACCTAGTTACATAAAATGCAACGTGAATTATTCTGAATGCACAGCCTACATCATTTTTGGACCAAAAAGTTTTTTATTTTTACCATCATCTTAAGAGATGAAAAAGTGGCTACAGAAAGTAAGGTAGTATTGATGTGTGTTATATGCTCTTGGTTTCCAAAACTCATTGGGATGAGAGTTTTCTCAGGAAGGGAGGAAGATGCAGCTAAATCATTGGCATTGTCAGTCACTAAGGGTTCTGTTCTCTGTGAATTGGTCTGATGTTTTTGAGCAGACATACTTTTGTCCTGTGCAGCATCATGTGGCAAACTAAAACTGCATGTAGGAAATAGAAGAAAGGAAGCATAGAAAAACCACCAACTCTGTGGCTGATGACACAGACATCTGAATGGTTTAGAATGCAGCTGTGGTTGACTTTCTTAGAAGAAAGGTTTACTTCCAGCATTTTGGGGCTCCTGGGTGTCTTACTGTATATTTGCACCGTGCTTAGCAAAATAGGACTTTAAAGTTCCCTGACATGAGTGCAGCACGAGTGGCTGCCTGCAGACCATAAGCCCTATTTTTGCCTTCCAGGAAAACTTAAAGGATCAGTAATTCAGTGGAACCAGGAGAAATAAAAAAAAAATAAATCAGTGTTTCAGTGGAACTCCGGAGTTGCAAGATTTATAACAGGCTTGAACTTTGGGAGTACAGAAAAGCTGGTGATTCTTGTATAATCTATAATTAATTTCATCTGATACCTGCAGTGTTAAGATCCATCACTTCCATCATAATCAGTGCATGTGCTCCCTGGCAGCACGTGCAGTTCTGTAGAGTGAAGTAACTACTTTACACTTGCATGAGAGTTGAGTACAGATGAACTGCTTCTGTTCAGAATGTTATGGAAGTTGGCTTTCTTTAAGATGCTTGGTCCCCATAGCAAGGGCTGAAGAAGCCAGGGCAATTTTTTAAAATGATGTTTGAAGTATTATTAATAGTAGTTCATTAAAAAAAAAATCTTTCTGTTTTAGTTAAAGTACCTAACAAGCAGTACTGCTGCAGTTTACTTGGAGTATGTGCAACGAAACTTACCTGAAGGGGTTGCCATGGAAGTGAAAAAGGTCAGTTTCCACCCCACATTATTAACTATTATGAGTCCTGATGCAAGTACCAGTAACTACTGAAGCCTTTAGAAAGTCAGCAGAGAAAATGGGTGTAGTTTGACAGGAAGATTTTCCAAAATATTGCATGGTAAAGAGGCTGTATTGCTTGGAAGTGCCACTAGGTGGCATTTTAAATCTGATTCATGTCTCAAACCAGTACAAATAAAGCAAAGTAGTTAGATGGTAGCTGGCTGGTACAGTAAGTGATTGTTTTTCTTTCCTTTTAGACTAAGATAGAGAAAATACCAGAACACATTCAGAAACCTGTTTGGGATACATTACCTCAAGTAGAAGAAACTGAAGTAAAGTCATGAACAGACCAGGTACTTGGCTCCATTAGTACTGAAGTTCATTGCTCCTGTCAACCTCATTTACTGAGACAGTCCGTTGTTAAATAAAGGTTCTCTTATAAAGAAATTATATAAACTCTTGTTTCATCAAGTTATTTTTGCTCATAACTCCAGCACACGTAGACTGAACTGCTGTAAAGAGAAGACATTTTACTGTGTTCTGTGATCAGTGACTGTGGTACTTTATAATAAGTTTGTAGAAAGGTAAAGTTTATTTTTACTTATATATGTAAAAGTGTGTGTATATATACATAAATATAAATTCACCATCTCCTTTTGATACTAGATGGCTTCTGAATTGAAATTCTTGCAAATCCATGTTTGTGTCATGTTTAATAATATGGATGCCAGACTGGTATCAATTTATCAATTTTGGATAAACTAGTTTGTTGGATAAAATATTTCCCATCTTCTTTTCTCCTACTTATACCACATTTCTCCATTTTTGCTTCCTGCCACATTTCTTGGCAAGTGGCAACAGCACCACTCCTACCATTGCTTTAGGTTTTCTCTCAAGTAATCTTCCTTCCTACTGACCAATTCCTCTGATTTTTCAGTCAGAAAATTTGTAGTTGCAATAAATACCCCATGCTTCATACTATTTATAGACATCAGAGTTTGAGCATGCTCTGTTGTGTTCTTAGGAGTCAGACATGAAAAGTTTAAATGATTCCTGTTTGAAGTGCCCACTTTTGCATCCATATAGCAAAATTATCAGGATCCGCAATTTCATTCCCTTAAACAAAGGCTATGTATGCCATGTGGGATGTTCAGTGCATCACAGCAGAGCTGTGTGCTTCACAGGAATGTGTTCTTGCTAGAATTCCAGTTTGAATATGAAAGGAGTGATGTAGAAAAGGGAAGACATGAACTCCTTTCTTACCTTTCTCTTTGCTACAAGCCAGTGTTGCAGCTTACACATCTTTCTTTTCATTATATCCACAGAAGTGCATACAATATAAATAAATAAGCATTGAACTTTACAAGCTATATACAAGAATCCATTGTGTAATTTACACTGCCTAAGAAACTTAGGGCAAAATTATTTGAAATTTTAGCTCTCTGTGAATTTGGATAGAAAGTGTGTGATCAACACATTTGTTTCAATTAAAAACATACACTGAAACGAAAAAAATCTCACAAGGGAAAGGGAAAAACCGAGGTGGAAAAGCAGGTATGAAGAAAGGCATGAAAGGGAGTTGCTGCAAGACAAAAGAGTGAAAGCAGTAAGCCAACAAGGAGGAATCTGTTCTGTTCATATTATAGAGTTCTCTAAAGGAAGTGGCTTTTATAAACCATCTGTCTCTGGAACGTCATGCAGATAAAAGTGCTGGAGATACACAGGTAGCAGCAGCACATTTCTGCTGACAGGGTTTAGTTGTGGCTGCTGACAGAATGGGGTCAGCAGAACAGATTTCAAATAATACAAGCTTTTCTCCTTTCTTCCTTTTCTTTCCAGTACTGCTGGAATTAGAGATGCTGGTGCTTAAGAAATCTGTAAAAATAACATTGCTGGTGATATGTTAGCATGTTAGCAAATAGGAGCTCCAGGGTAATTTTACAAGTTCATTTAAAAAATTTTATTTAAGATTTTCAAGTGGAGAGATCTAATTTAAGAAAGAGATTATCATATAACAGTAGTTACATGTTCACTGGTCTATGGGATATCAGCATCAGTGCTGCTTTACTGCCCATGCCTCACAACAGAGAAGCTGATGTGTTCATTTCCTGGGAAAAACATCTTCTAGGACACACATCAATGGCACCACAACATTTTAAGTAGTTTAATCCTAAACACCAAACATTGCCCAAGTAGGATCCTTCTCACACAGGAGTGGGGAGGAGGGAGGAAGGAGTTGAGCAGAAAGAGGGAAACAATTCCAGGAATATCATTGGTTTCAATGATTAAATTGACGTCAGGATGGAGAGAGGAAAAGGAGGTGAGGATAGACTTCAAGCTACAGGACCAAATCTTCTAAACTGCTAGAAAAACTTCCATGTTCTGGTGAAAAGAAGTTTGAATAAGTGGCCACAGAAGCAAGTGCTGGCATTCAGAACATCGTAAAATAATGAGATCCACGCATTTTTAATCCATAAGGCAATATTAAAAAGCAGACTGAAATTCCACAAAGTAGTGTGAAGTACAATAGCCAGAATTTTGGAAAGAGTACAAACAACACTGGAGTCTGAGCTACAGGCTTACTGTCACCAAGGTCCTATAATTTTCCCTTTTTAACACACAAGAATGCAATCCCCAAAGAGTTCCTGAGCTCTCCTGATTAAGCTCTGAACAGACTCCTGCTCTTCCTGCTGTCTCCCAATGCCAAATTGTAAGTCAACAAGAAACAAGAATAAGAATACACTGCCTTTTTCCCATTTCTGACAGAAGTGGGATTGATTGGCAATATTTTTCCTCTTAGGGAGCATGACTGCCAACTTCACCAAAAAGCCCTGCTAGCTGGAAATCATTCATTTTAGTGATGTTACATAACATGTTAGCTTTGACTGGACCTGCCAGGGGAGTTTCTGCTGCTGGGCACAGCCAACTGCTGCTGTCTGTGTGCTGCAGGGCACTGTGTAAAGCAGGTTGGTTTGGAATGGTTTGGATTGAGACAATTTCCCCCAGGCCAGAGGGGTTTATTGAAGCGACTGACCTGACCATGGGACTGACCTGACCATGGGAATAACTCCCAGAGGCTTCTGTCTAACTGAAGTGCAGTTAATGTGCTTGCTTTCTTCAGTCAAATCCATGGGTACCCTAGGTCAGGATAGTCCAGAAGCTACAATCCAAATGCTAAACACTTTTTCCCCAAAATATTGCATGCCTCCATCCCATTTGGAATTATGTTGCTCTCACTTAGTTCTGGTACTCCCAGAGACAAACTGAAACCATTGTGTGTGCTTCGCAAATTACACCACCATTTATAGCCCTGTGTTACTACAGATTGGAGTTTCAGCTAGGTCATACCAAAACACAGGGATATAAAGAACTTCTAATACAAACAACTGAAAATTAATTCACTGTATTTGACACAATTGATGGCTGTTTCTGAAAAATTGTGTCCATATGCACACTTAGGCAGCACTCAGTAAGATTCAGCAGTGACATGTTAGAAGAGCCAGATTTTAGTGGGGTTTCATTTGGAGCTTTTGATTGCTTTTAGAATAAGGAAGCCTGAGTATTAAGGACTTGTGTTGGGTCTCTTCCTTCTAGCCTGACTGTAGAAGTTTCCCCAGGAGCTGTGTACTTTTAGCAAAGCGCTGCAGACCATGGCTCGGCTGGAGAAAGTGCTGTAGCTCCAGCAGGATCTACCTGCGCTCCGCCAGCCCGAGAGCGGGGCCGGGCTGCGGGCTCCCGCTGCCAGCGCGCTGCTCGCCGGCCTCACCGCGGCTCCGGCAGCGGAAACGCGTCACGGCCCGCACCAAGCTCGGGGTCGCGGCGTCGGGACGGGGCTGAATTTGGACACAGTCTGGGATAAGCGTTCCCTGCCGGCAGTCTGTGTTCCCCAGCGCGGACCGCAGGAACAAACGCGCGCCCGCTCCCCGCACGGGACGCTAGCCGCCGGCATGGCGAGGCGCGGCCCCTGAGCTCACCCCCCTCCGCCTCTCCTTCCGGCCGCCCGCGGCCCCGCCTTCCCGGGGTGCGGCTCCTGCCCGGCATCACCGGGCGCGGGCCCCGCCCCGCCGTGCGGCAGCGCAGCGCGCCGGGCCCCCACGTGCAGCGGGCCGGGCCGGCATGGGCAAGCGGCGAGCCGGGCGGGAGCTGCTGCGCAGCCTGAGCAAGAAGCAGAAGAAGCACCTGCGGGAGTTCGGCGAGGAGCACCCGTTCTATGACAAGTGAGTGCGGGGCTGCCGGGCCGAGGAGCCCCGCTCAGCCCGGGGCCGGCCCGGGCGCCGCCGCTCCCTCTCACGCTTCCCCCGGGCTCCCGAGGGAAGGAGGGGAGCTGCAGCGGCTGCTCGTGAGCCGGGAACATCGAAAGCAGGAAATCTCGGCTCGGATTGTTGTTTCTTGCAACAAATGTAAACTCTTGTGGTGCAGGCCGGAGGGAGTGGGGAAGCGGAGGAGTGCGAGGTGGGCTCTCATTTTGGTAGCAGGCCGATCTCTTGGCTTGTCAGGGTTCCAGCCTTCGCACTGTTTACTCCGTGCTCTTTTCTGATCTCGGGAAGGGTATGGAAATAGAGTAGCGAAGATCTGTGTGCCAAGAGCCATTCCCTCCTCGGGGGGATGCCCGTCTGTCAAAACGACCACCTTCCTTTTGTACCCACGTGTAAACCTCTGAGGAAGGAGCTGCTTGGTCCCGATGCTCTGTGGTGCTGAGCACACACTGTGAGCAGGCACGCACTGTTAAGGTTCGTTGTTCGTGCGCCCCCGGGAGCCTCCTGGCCTGTGTGGATTGGGGTGGAAGGCCTGCTGGAGGGAACGTCCTGCGTGTCACCCTGGACAGGGATGCTCAGTCCCACACCAGACTGCATCTTTTTGAAAGAATTGACGTTAGTTTTAAGCCCAGCTTGCACATTGGTTTCTTGGAAGAATTGCAGTCCCAACACTGGTTAATTGATGCTGGTTTTCCTTTAGTTTGTGTCTTTTTCCCACTTCACAGGCCAATATTTAGTGCTAGAAGTAGTCTCTGTCTCTGGTTAACTTTTTTACAAACTACACTTGCAGCTAGATTATTTTAATTCCTTTTGAGACCTCATCTTCTGATTAACACTGGATTTTATTTCAAAATATTTATTGATCAGTTGTAATGCCTGAGCACTTTGTGTACAGAGGGTCACATCACCTGAGAGGGTGACCTTTAAGGGTAAACACCCAGAGTGTTTTCTTAGAGAGACATGTTTAAGCCTTCTTTTACTTCTTTAAACTTGCATAACTGATCAAATCACTATTCCCCTCATTTTTCATCATGCATGTAACATCGTTGGCAGAATAAGGTATGTTAGTGCTTTCTTTTCAGGGTTTCTGGAAGACCAGAAGAAACTCAAATATGTGAATTGGTAATGTATTTTTATTCCTTCCTTACTTTTATCTTTGTGTAGTTTAGTGAAGTGGAAAACTTAGCATTTCATATTTCTAGCTTGTTCAGGCTGATTAAGTTCTTCCACTTAGAAAACCAGAATTTAGGAGAAAAAGATGAATGTGATTTTTGTGTGGCTCTGAATTGTTCTCTGTAATGTCTGACTCTAAACTGTAATACCATCAGAGGGCAGAAGCAGCAGGAAATAACACCAGTTCTTACTTTTTTGTGTATTAGTCACAGTGAAAATTAGATCACGCTCTAAGTTGTTTTAATAATGTTGGTAAACTTAGTGTTGCTTGAGTTAGGAGACTTTGTTCTCTCTTGAGCAAATAAATATGTTAATATTCATTGTTATTCTTCAGATTGCCAGTGCTTTACTTGTCTTTCAGTCAGGATTTGGTAATCCTTTATCATCAGATTAATAAAAGACTTCAAAGTTTTAATTTGGAAAAATTAATTACTCTGTTTCATTTGTTTCCTTTAGCAATTTTGTACATTAATGTAGTACTTACTGATTTTTTTTCCTTTTTGGGTTAAAAGAAACTAAGAAAGGAGTTAATGGTGTTGTGTTGATACTCATGGTTTCACTACAAGTTTTGGCTGTAATCTGGACATTGGTTTGTGCAAGCCCAGGACAGAACTGGCTCAAGTCTGGCTTGCTCCAAGTGTAGAGCTGTACAGCTGAACCAAACCTGACCAACTCCCCGGGGAACCATTGCCCACTGACAGCTATATCACTTACCTTCTTGAAAGCCAGAACATTTCCAGCATGCTCTATCCCTTGTATGGGTGCCTTTCTACAGTTTTCAATCTGTGTGTGGTTTTCGTAGAAGAATCTGGTGCTGGTTCAGTAAATGCTTTGTCTGTGGAGATCAAATGTCCTCACTCAGCTGAGACTGAAAGAACTGGGTTTGGTGATGCTTCCAGTCAAATAGGTACCAAAAGAGGCACTTTAGTCTGTCTCCCAAGATGCTTTCAAAACCTAAATTGAGGTGTCCAGTATATTATTGGCATAAAATGCTGGGTTTTGAAAAATTCCATTGCATTTATGTAAAGGTTTAGTGTGAGAGGGGAAACATGATAGTGTAGGTAGAAGTAAGGATTTTTGCCTGCTGCTTTATTGGCTGTTACTGTTGTTGCTGTTTACATTCATGTTTTCCTTTCCAGTCTGAGGATTCTGATAAATCAAGTAAAGAAAGTGATTCAGAGACTGAAGTGGAACAGGTCTCTGGATATCATAAGCTCCTGGCTACTCTGAAGACCTCGCCTGAGTCTGAGAGTGAGGAAGAGGAAGATGAAAGTGAATCAGAAGAAGCTGAGGAAAGTGAGGCAGAAGTGGACAGTGAAGGGTCCCAGAAGACTGGAGAAGTAGAGGAAGGTGAAGAAGATAAGAATGACGTTCCAGAGGAGGAAGCAGGTTTGGAAATTTGTCTTTTCCCATGCTTCTTTGGTGAATGTTGCTTGACTAACGTATGTTTTTAGCCAGGTTCCTGGTGTAGACTGTCTTGTTGGCTGCGTGCTCTTCTGCCTTGGAGACTCTGTTGCTCCATTGGCTCTGTGTGGGTGGGAGCAGCAGCTGCTGAAGGATTTAGCAGGGGAAAGGGTAGCTGTGCTCATTTGCCGCCAGACAGCCTGCTGCTGCTTCCTCAGATGTTGTTTGTGCGGCAGCACAGAGGAAATCCACATGGAGCAGCAGACCAGGGGTTCTCACCCACTCATGGGAGACACAAGCTGTTCTCTCGAGCAGCATCTGGCTTGGCTGTGCCACCGAGAGGAGGGAAAGGTTTGCCTCACAGCATGGGAAAGAATATGGAAATTGGAAGGAAACCTCCGCCTTTACGGTGAGGTGTCCTCATTCATGAAATCTGCAAAGAAACGCTGGGAGAGAGGAGTCAACCTTTAATAATTTACAGTTATTTAGGGTCTTCAGAAACTAAAAGTTAAATTCTCTAAACAGGTTACTTCTTTAATTTTGTCTAGGGGACCACATTTTGTGTTATGTAACATTTGGCATGCTAGCTGAAAGTCATCTTTATGGTAGAATACAAAGCCTGATTTTATCTTTTTTGATAGAGATTTGGGAGAAGAAAATCAGTAACTCAAAGGGACCAACATCTACAGACAGTAACTTTTCCAGGAGAGAATAACCTGTTTCTTTCTAACAATTGACAGCCACAGACACAGCAGAGCAGACGCTCAGCCAGGAGCAGGCTGATGGCACAGATACCTCTTGTGACCCACGTCATGGAGTAATTGAGGAGTTTACTGATGTGAAACACGAATCTGAATTTAGCTTGGAAACCAATTTCATGGAAGAGGAGAGTGGAGATTGCAATGCAGATAGGAGAGACAGCAGTTCTTCACAAGATCTTCCAGAAGGTAAAAAACTGTGTGTTTGTGTTTAAGGATTTGCCTTTAGAGGAATATGTGTAAACATGTTTAAATTGTCCAAAACCCTAACGATGGGCTGTACAGCTTCTGAGTTCTTCCACTACATTATTCATGCTGCCCACATGTCAGCTGGTTATGTAAGGGACCCTTAACACTAATGCAGATGTGTAGCTGAACCATTTGCTCTCTGTAGCCCCTGGGGACTGGAATTCATGCGGGGTTTCTGCTATGACTGGTAAAGCTTAAAGTATCAAGAACTAGAAAAGTGTGTGGAGGGTGTTATCTTGTTCTGCTGCTTTAATAGTAGTTTTAAAAGCCACTGTAATACAAAGAGCTCTGCAAGCCTGCACTTCACTATGGAAGATGTTCTTGGCACAAACAGCATAGTAGATAATCACAAAGCTGACCTGTGAGGGCATCCTTCACATCTCAGTGGAGTTAGAGGTCAGATTCTGAGAAGCTTGGAGCAGCCACAGTAATTTAGACAAATGCTCAGTGCTCTCGGAATTTTGAAGGTTATGCAGAGGAGTCTGACTGCACCAGGATCCAGAGAGAATGAAGCATCAGCAGAGCACATGTAATGTCTTTTAAGGGTGTATACCAGGATCTCAGTGGACTGATGGATGCATCCGAAGCTGTGGTGTTGGAGTTGTCCCACCATATGTAACAAAATAACTGTGTTGCATCCTTCAGTGACATGGCACGCACTGGCACTCGCACAGCTTCTGCTCATATTTAATGCTCTGTGCCTTTAATATCAGATGGCATACTTTGAGAGAGAGAAATATGTTTGTAGCATCCCTAGTGATGCTGGCTTGTCATCTTGGAGCAGCAGCTGACATTAGATCTGGGAGGCAGCCTGGGTGATACATGAAATGTGTGGAAGCATCAAAGGGCCATGTGATAGAAAAAACAGCTCGTTCTTGTTACCATGAGAATATGACTTAGGCTGCTGGCATTGCATTTTAATGAGAACGTAGCTCTCCAACTGCATGCTAAGTATCCTAACAGCTTTGTTCCACCTATAAATGATGCACTACCTCTCAGTGGGTTCTTGCAGCTTGGAAGTGTCTTTATAGTCTATTACAGAAAATGAATCACCTAAGATAGCAGAAAGAGGATTAATTTCTATTCTGGTCCTGGGGTCACTAAAATTCCTGAAATTGCATCCCATTACTCCCTCTATTGGGAAAATGTTGGAATCAGTAAAACTCAACTGAGGAGAGACCCTGCAGTACAATTAAATGATATCCAGTTCATTTCAGTTTCTGGAAAGATTTTCTCAATTTTTTTTCAGTGTCATGATTAGTAAATATCTTGACTTTTGTCTGGGTAATTTGTGTGTGGGCTGGATATTTGTTGGCAAGCACCAGTGTTCCCTAATTAGTTTTCTTTATGCAGTGAATGCTGCTGTGCTGCAAGCAGGATACAGGGCTTGGCTTTCAAAATTAACTTTGCATGTGACTTTGTGCGTGCCAGTGTCTTTGAGTATAATGTGATTTAACAGTTCTTTGCCTCTCCTTTTCTTTCCAAAAAGAAATGCTGATTAGATAAATCAGACTTTTTCTCACTGCAGGCAATTTTTGTCCCCCTTCTCCAAAACTCGCCTAGTGTTTCTCTGCTTCATTACAGACTGTGTTCATATCAGTGGCCAAAGCCCTGGGCAGAACTGTTTGTAAATAGGAGGGTTAGCAAGTTCACTTGGGACTTTACTATTGACAGCCTTTTTCACCTGCAAGCAATGGACATGTCAGAGCTTAAGGCAAAAAATTGCCACTGTTTTCCACTACATATTGTTTTCCTGTCTAACGTTTGATTAGTGCTTGAAAATTCTAGTACTTCCATAAGTGCTTCTTTTTCTTTTTAAAAAGCAATCTGTCAAATCTGTTCTCTCTGTTCTTTGCAGAGAGAATTTGACATCCTTTCTCTCATCTCCAAGTGCTTTGAAATAACTAGTTTTAATTGTGGTGTTGGCCAGCGTGGAAACTGTTCATCTCATTTGCAAATCCTTTCTGCAACTTGATTCTACTATTAGCTGCAATAGTTCTCAGGCTATTTTTTTGTTGTTACTGTGAACAGATCCATTTAAGCAGCACATGGACAAAGAACTTGAAGAAAAGGAAATAAAGAAAATGTCTACGCTTCCTAAAACTTCAAGTCAAAGTCAGGTAATAATTTTCTGTAGCCATCCAGCATTTCTAGAGATGCCTGGATCAAAATGGTCCTTTTTTATATAATGATCCTTTTTGTATAATGATCCTTATTCACGTGAAGTAGATCACAATTGTTATTATTAGCTGCTGGCACTAGAATTATTGTGATTTTTCACTGTGTTCTTGTCAAACTGTTTTCTTCTTCATTTACTGCTGAGCAAGAGTTGAAATGTGAAGTCTGCTGTTCTGAAGGCATATGCTGACACACCTGAAACACATAGCTTTAGACTTGGAGCTGTAGTCCCAAAACCTTGACAATAGGTGGAAACAGGGCTTGTTTCTGAGTTGTGACAGCACAGTGCCAGGGATGTGCTCTGCAGCTGAATTTCTGAGGTGACATGTACACTTTTAAAGGTACTTGTGATGCACTTTCACATTATTCCTTCAGGATGGCTCTGTCCCTGTATACATTAACAAGCCAGTGAAGGGGAATTTATTACTGATATTACTTTATTACTTAATTCTGGCAATAATATGTGAATTACAGTACCACAAAACCATCTCATTGCTTGACAGACAATACTGATTTTCAAAATACTCATTTTTAGACAAACCTTTGCTTCATAACTTTTCCACATCTGATTTTGTTTTGGAGACTTGCCTCCCATTCTGGTCAGCCATATGCTGGGTGACATTCATTGGAAGGTATCCAATGGTTAGTTAGTCAGAGAGAAAGCTGTGATTTTTTTAAAAAAATTAATTTACTTTTTTGGCACATGCTGGCCAAAATTACCAGTGCCACCTGAAGCAATGCATGATATATCTTTGCTTAAATTGGTGTAGCTACTTTACAGGGACATCTGGGGACAACTTGCATGGCAGAAGGCGTAAAGTTTAGAGTTTTCCCCTACTACACTGATAGCAGTTCAAAATCAGACAGATACCCAACAAGACTGCATTTAACAACTGTATCACAACTTACGGGATTAGCCCCTAATGGGTTTATTTTCTTCTTTGATCAAAGTATGTACCTCACTGGGGTCAGCCAGTAAGCACAGTTGGACTGCAGGGTTCTCATCTTGTCCATGGTTTGAGCCACTGATTTGCTGGGTGGGTTAGGCAGAAAATTCCTCAGTTTCCTGTGGCATGGGAACAGTTACAGACCCATCATTGCAAGATCCATCCAGATCTACCAGGCTGAAATTTATTGTTATTTATCCTGGCAGACTCTCAAAGGGATTGCATATTGAAAAAAAAGTTTCCACTTGTAGTATGAAAAGATGATTTCCTTAATCTCATGACCTTGGTTAAAGCTGATATCACCAGCTGTGGTGATATGCTTTGAAGTGTGCAAGGTTTGGTACATATGACTCCTCAGTGTTGGCTATTTTTTTTTCCAGTGGCCAAGGCTGGGTCAAGTAATTTTTTCTTCCACTTTGGAGAAACATAAAACTTTGAAAGCAGACAAAGAAGTTGATGTGAAACAGCTTCATCTCCACAAGCCTTTGGAATCCACTTGGCCAAAAGTGAATAAACAATTTCTGTCTGCAGTGGACAAACCAACTGATTCCCCTTTTACCCCATTACAAAGAGAGCTCTTCTGTATCATGAATTCGTACCGGGACTTGTTCTACCCAGAAAGAAACGCTTTAACAAACGGAGAGGAGATCCGGCACGCTTACTGCCTGCATGCCTTGAACCATGTCCTCAAGGCCAATGCCCAGGTGCTCAGCAACAATGCCAAACGGAGGGATCGAAAGCCAGGCACTGACACCGACGACCACAGGGACCAGGGGCTCACCAGGCCTAAGGTAAGAGAGCTCTGATTGCCTGATCTCCACCCTGGCTTCCTGCTCAGGCTGTACAAACATCCTGGTAGTTCATCTACAAGTATTTCTGTTGCTGCTCTCTCAGAGAATGTGTTCCTGGGCTTATGCTTTTCTACATCCCTTTATTGTGCCTGGAAGTTGTCTTCCATGGCCAGGGAAAATGTCGTGTGAGAAGCAGTGAGCTCAGGGTTGTTAACCAGCCTGGTTCTGTGCCAGGCCATGAGTTTGACTTAATCTCTTTTTTTGTCCCACTGTCACCACAGACTGACAAGTTTTCCTGCTTCCATATTTAAATATGCCAGTGCCAACAGGTGCCTCCATATTGATCTTCAGCATCAGTGCAGATAGTGTAGGCTGTCACTTAGTGTGAGATGTCCTAGAAATGCTTTTGTCCTTAGGCACTTGTAAGGACTTGCCTGCATGAAAGGATCTTTATGTACCTGGGAGCACCTTAGGGAATCCCAGCCCCACTGTCAAGGCCACCTGTCGTAGTTGGGGGAGTGGGCCCCAAACCAATCCTCCCTGGATTCACAGCATCCTGTAGTTGATAACCAGGTGGATTCAGCTATGGCAGCCTGTCACCAGTGTGCCAGCTGCCTGTTGAACAATTCCAGAGAGTTGGGTTTCAGTGTGTGCCTCATGCCTGGCAGATCTCTGGTTTCTGTGTTGATTCCTGCATTAGCCATTTATATTTTGGAGTTCTGTGCAGAAACTGTTGCCACCCATTCAAGAGCCAGGCCTTGACCCTGTCTCTGTCACAGGAGCTCTTGCTTGCCTGGAGAACATGCTTAGTTTTCAGTTCTCCTGTACTGGTACCCTGAGTGAGCTGGGGAAGCAGGCTGAGCTGCTGGCCACGACCAGTTCAAGAGCAGTGCATCCCAGTGCATCTTCCCTCCCTGCTGCTTGTCAGAATGGTTTTGTTTTGATTGTTGGGATGCCCCACAGGGACAGATCCAAGCCAAAAGTTTAATTAACGTACGCTTAATGGCGAGTGTTCATATTTTATGGGTTATTCTGTGTCACTGTTGATCTGCACAGGTACTGATGATAGTGCCCTTCAGGGAATGTGCTCTGCGGATTGTGCATATTTTCATCAGTCTCCTCGAAGTGAATGACAAGAAAAAAATAGATGTAAGTAGTAAGAAGCGCTTCAAAGGGGAGTTTGGCTCTGACCCAGAAGAGAAGCCCCCCAACCTGAAAAGACCTGAAGATTATGAAGCTGTCTTTGCTGGCAACATTGATGACCACTTCAGAATTGGTAATAACCTACTGAACAGATGATTTTTAGCTTGTGCAGAACTGCTAAGTAACAAATTTTTCCCAAATGCCTTAGAGCTGTCAGGGATGTATGGCTGTATGGCAAGATGAGGGAAGAGATGAGAATCTTGACTCCATGTTTCAGAAGGCTGATGTATTATATTATGATGTTATATTATATTAAAATGCTATACTAAAACTATACTAAAAGAATAGAGAGAAAGGATCCTTCAGAAGGCTGGAATGGAATGGAATGGTTACAAAAGCTCGTGACTCTCAGAGTCCTAGCCAGCTGCTGTGATTGGCCATTAATCAGGAGCAACCAACATGGACCAATCAAAGATGCACCTGTTGCATTCCACAGCAGCAGATAATTACTGTTTTTCTTTTCCTCTGAGGTTTCTCAGCTTCTCAGGAGAAAAAATTCTGGCAAAGGGATTTTTCAGAAAATATCATGGTGATAGGGCTGGAAATTTGGTGAGACTCTAGGCTGTGTGGTATTCCTACTGGTTTTTCCTCTGGCAACCTGGATTTTTCTGAAAATCTTTCTTGCCTTTCCAGAACTTAGAAAAGAAGAGAAAATAGAGAAGGAATTATTTTCACATCAAGTTCAGAAAAATTTAAAATGCAATGACAGCTTTATTCTAGCAGGACTGCCCACACCTCATTTTGAAGATAGCCTTGATTATGCAGCAAAATCTTTTCATGTTATATAAAAAAAAATCTTAAGGGTTTAATTGGCCTGTTCACAATGTCTCGTGTAATTGTTGGAACAAAATTAAAACTCAGTACTGAGCAAAGCAGTTTTCTGCTGTGCTTCCCATGCTTTTCATGGAAGCAAATGGGTAGCCAGCAAGTAGGAGTGTTGGACAAGCAGAAAATGTGAGACTTTCTTATAATATTGTAAACTTACACTGTTTAGTAACTCAGTATGCATAGAACTAGCTAGTGGCTTGGTTCCTGGAGCTGCTAAGATGAGAAGGCAGTTTTTCTAACTTAACTTGACACATCAGAGGCTTTTGAAATACTGCACCTTTTAAGATAAATTGGCACCCCAAGAAATGTACTGGTACAGTGGAAGATGTGTGCAGGTCACAGTCAGTCTTTCTTTCTTCCTTCCCCAATGAATATCTCCCAGGATGAGAGCATCTTACTTTCAGTAGCATAGTAATTTTCCTTTGAGTCCTCTCCCATACCACACTCTACTTGTTCCACTTACTAAGTGTTAAGGCATGATTGAAGAAACTTTCAGTGCTGTTAACTTGCAGAAGCAAATTATAGAAGCAGAATAATTTCTCTTTCTTACTGTGCTGCACACCCTGTTACTTCTGCACAAAGATCTAATTTAAAGCACATTTGTTATGCCTTACTGAAACCATTCTTTCACATTTTTAAACAGAAAAAAGACTTGATGTTTCTAAACTGCTGTGACAAGTGATATCTTCTTCCTGGAAATTCACCCAATTGAACCTTTCTTTTTTTCTTTCTTTTTTTATTTTTATCCTTGGGTTGGAATAGACAGCAGGAGGGGTCCCTACTGCTGTCTTTGAAACTCTTGGAAGGGCCTTCAGCTGAAGCTGTGCTATCTGCCTTCATGTGGACAGGGAGAGAAGTTGCAAAGACTTTGTTGGGCAGATTGAAGGGGGTGGTTTGAATGTGGTCTTTTCTAGCTGCATTTTTAAGACCAGGAAACTGTGGGTTCTGGAACTACTGCCACGTAGTTATGACACGAACTCCTTTGATTCCTTCCCTTTTGTGTCTGTTGCATGAGAAGTGATGCATAAGCTGTTCAGAATGTACCCTGCAACATGTGGTGTGACAAGCAGTGTAGGTGCAAGACTTTAGTCACTGTAGCATGAAGAACCTTGTCCTGTGTGGTTTAGTAGCAAATCTTTCAGCCCTCTGAATAAAGGCACTTGGATAGTCAAGAGATCCACCCCAAATCTTTAGTGACAGATTAAAGTAAGAGCTGCTGTAATACCCAAAGTTCAGGATTTGGGGAGAAAGTAGTAGTTAATAATTTCTGCTTTTTTTTTTTTTTAAGTTGTTCAGTCTCCTCATTTTCCATTTCAGCAGAAAATCAGAAATAATATGTTTAAGCTAAAAATTTTCATTCAGATTATGAAAAATCTTTAAAAAACAGTACAGAAGTGCTTTGCCAGACTACATGAAAATTTTCCACATGCTTGTCAAATCGGGGTAGGGTGGATAAGCACTTTTTGAGGAAAGGAGAGTTTCAGACAGATTAGTTGTCCCCAGCTATATTCACCAGTGTGGGGAGAGGGAATGGGGGAAATTACTGTTCCAGAGCCTTCTGGAAGAATGTGTTGATAATTGATGTTAACTGAGAAGTTGCTGTTGGTGTTGTTGGACAGGGGTTGCGATTCTGCAGAAGAGCATGAGACTCTATGCACCCTTCTACTCCTCAGACATCATCATTGCCTCTCCCCTGGGCATCAGGACTGTCATTGGTGCAGAGGGGGAGAAGAAAAGAGATTTTGATTTTCTGTCATCAATAGAAATCCTCATAATTGATCAAGCAGACATTTACCTGATGCAGAACTGGGAACACGTTCTGGTGAGTTTTCCATATATGTATTTATTTTTGTGCTGTGCTGTGTCTTGCTGGTCTGATGTTACTAATTTTTGGCAGTGAGCAGTATTGCTGATTTTTACTGACTTGATTCTAGACATGGATGTTCAGTTCTTTTCCTCCCTCCACCGTGATATTTTCCTTATACTAAGAATATTCTTTCTACAGATTTTGTGTAGTATTCGGACATGTTCTCTCTACAACTTAGTTTGGTGCTTTAGTAATGTATTTCATCAAAGGTGGTTTTTTGACAGTTTTAATTATCTTGCAGCATTGAGAATGATGATTCCTTTAATCCCATCTGGGAGAAATTATGCCAGCTGTCTGACTGCCCAGTGTCTCAGATTGCAGCCGTGTGAGGAATCTGTGCAGCCTAATTCAGGTTCCTCCAGAAAGCAAGAGGAGCTGGTGCATGTCTCCATTGACTGCAGAGATACTAAGCACTAGTCATGTCCAGAGTTACACAGTGTGAAGGGTTTCCTGTACATTTAATGCAAATAGAGCTCTTGGATTGTGGCTAGTCTGCAGCAGTACCCCTGCTTTTTGGCTTTTGGTTAATAGAAGTTTTCAGGATTGAAATGGTAGGGTTCTCTTTTCCACATAAAAACACCTCTGAGGTACCCGGGCCAGAAATTTTGACTCTAGATGTCAGTATGCATTTTGATGAGTCCAGAAGGTCCTCTTCCCTCAGGAGTTGCAGAAAGGGCACATGAGCCTACACAATACCCAAGGAATCAGTCTTGGAGCCTGGTTTCTGTTTTTCCCTTTAGGTACAACTGCCTGCCAATTGGTGGCAGGGATGCCAGTCCTAGGCATTGTTCCCTGAGGGTAAAATGCAGTGAATTTCTTCAAACTCTACCTGAATGTGATGAGAGCTGAGTTGTGTTTAGGCTTCTTTTAGCTCAGAAACCTTGGGCCTGCTGACTTTAATACAAACAAATCCATTATACTTTTTCCCCAGGAGAAGATTAGAAAGTTATGTTTCTGGTGACTGAAGAGATGGTAGCTTTCAGTTCTGTGTCAGGAAATCAAGTAAATTGCTCTTGCTGTGGTCAATAAATTCCAGACAGTGGTGTCTTGGGAGGTGCTGCTTGTTTATATTCTGTGCTGCCCTGCTGGTCCCTGCCCTCTTTCCCACTGCAGTTAAGGCTTTTGCAGGTAGTCAGGGATGTCAGCAGTGATGTGCCTTCATCTGTCTGTTGCAGCACCTGGTGAAGCACATTAACCTGCTGCCTCTGGATTCCCACGGGGTGGACTTTTCCCGAGTGCGGATGCTGAATCTCAACAACTGGTCCAAGTACTACCGGCAGACGCTGCTGTTCAGTGCCCTCCAGGACCCCCAGATTAACTCTGTCTTCAACAAACACTGCTTCAATTACATTGGGCAGGTGAGTTCACAGAGCACCTGGAATGCTGGTGTGGAAGGGAGGGGGAGAGGCAGAGAAAATCCAGTCTGCAGAAAAATTCTGTAACTCAGTTGCTGAAAGACTGTGCCTATCATTTCCCTCACCCAAATGTTTCAGTCTGAATCCATGACATTGCATACTGTGCCAGAGGCATGAAGATCTGCAGAAAAATTCTGTAACTCAATTGCTGAAAGACTGTGTGCTATCATTTCTCTCACCCAAATGTTTCAGTCTGAATCCATGACATTGCATACTGTGCCAGAGGCACGAAGAGCTGCTCCTCATTCAATGATGCTTATTTGATACTTTCCTTTCATAGTAGTTGCTGTGTTATGTCAGAAATTGGATATTGGTTTTTTTAATTTGGCAGACTCAAGTTATTTTGTTTTACCTATTTTGTTGTTAAATGGAGAGTTCATCTGCTTCCCTTTTTTTTATCTCCTGCTGTGTAAGTTGCATGAACTGTTAGTAGTTTGAAAGAAGCAAGAAAAGTAAAAACTTCAGGAGACCATCTCAAATATACGGGATTCAGGGCATAAGCAGCCATTGTGTATTTAACAGACCTGGTGTGTCTGTCATGACTGTAGCTTTGTATTGGAGCTTTCTTAAAAACAGCCTTGAGCACTGTTTTTCTTAAAAATAGCCTTGTGCTGTCAGAGGTGAGCTGCAGAAAGCTGACTGCAGCGTGCCTGCCTTTGGAATGCTGCTTCCATGAACATCCTACTTCTTTCTCACAGGTGGCCGTCCGCAACGTGCCTCTCACTGGCTCCATCAGCCACGTTGTGGTCCAGCTTCCTCATGTTTTCCGGAGATTAGAAGCTGACAGTGTAACTTCTGTGATAGATGGAAGGTACTGTGTGTCTCAGCCTGTTTTGCTGTGCCCTAATGACTGCAATTTCAGATTTAGTGGAGCGTACTGCGGAGCACACTGTGGGTTCACCACAGAAGTACATCTTCATTAGTCCTCAGGTGTAGGCTGGGCTCTGCACAGGTGGAGGGAATACTGGCCTTCTCCTTGCCAAAGGCACTGGAGAATACAGTCTGGGGAAGGAATACCAATCTACCACAGTTGTGTAGTGCTGGTAAAGCCTTTAATCTTCTACACATGTAGAAATTCTGTGAAGTTAAAAGAAGGAAAAATGTAGTGAAAATCTTTGGCAGTCTGTTGTTTGATTATCCTCCTGTCTGAGGTCATATCAGTATTAGAAAGCTGAAGTTTCACTGTGGTTAAAATGTATTTGTTGTTTTTAATTGAGGTTTCAGTTTTTTGTCGACAAAGTTCTGCCCGAGTACCGCGATGCCATCATGTCCCACACGCTCATTTACGTCCCGTCCTACTTTGACTACGTGCGCCTGCGAAACTACTTCAAGAAAGAGGACCTGAATTTCACTCACATCTGTGAATACACGAAAAAGGCTGCTGTCTGCAGAGCCAGGCGCTTCTTTCTCAAGGGAGAGAAGCAGTTCTTATTGTTCACTGAGCGCTTCCACTTCTACAAAAGGTGAATTGTGGGCCAAGTTTTCCCTCCGAGTTGCGTGTGTGCTGTTCTGAGGGTAGAGTCTGACCTTAGTCATAGATGGGCTGTGCTGCTTTTTGAATCTGTTGGATCCCTCTGAGGACTTCTTTGACTGAAGTAAGAGTTGTTAAGTTTGCTTTCAAGTTCTTGCCTGTTGTCAGCAGTCCCTTTGCAGAGACTTTCTTATTTTGTTATGAGCAAAGCTTTATTCAGGAAGGAAGTGCTGCCAAGTTCCAGTGATGTCAGGACAGGATGATACAGCCTGCAAATGGGATTCATTGGGCCTTTTATTTGTGTTCATCTGTGCCACAGTAATTGTGTAAAATTTTGGAAGGAGTATATAATTGGTTCAATAATAATGCAATACAGCAGGCTGAGGCCACTTGAAAAATTTGTTACATCCTGACTGGAGCTGTGTTCAAGTTCCTAATGGAACAGGATTTTTTTCTGTTAGCAGATGTGTTGGTAAATATGAAAAGTTTCATGAGGCTTGGTCTGATCAGGCTTCACTGTATTAAAATCCAAGCTGCAGAGGCTGACCACTTCATAAATTGGTGGTGGTTGGTACTTTAGACGATGTCATTGTGCCTGGCAGTGTGAGATTTTCCCCCTAAATTCCACTTCTCTGTTTAGTCTTCAGTCCATGACGCAGGGTTTGTAAAGTTGAGCTACAGCTGATGTGCATTGAGGGTGTTGGAAATTGGAAGACTTGATAGAGGACTGATGTTTTACCATGCATATTTTGTAAAATTTGCCTCAAATCTTTTGGGGTTTTATTTTTTTCTGCTACAGGTATACGATCAAAGGCATTAGGAACCTCATTTTCTACGAGCTACCAACATACTCCCACTTCTACAGTGAGATTTGTAACATGCTGAAGGCCACAGACAGTGGTGTGGATGCTACTTGGACTTGTACTGTGCTCTACTCCAAGTATGATGCTCAGAAATTGGCTGCAGTGGTTGGCATAGACCGCACAGCTCAAATGCTACAGTCCAAGAAGAATGTGCACCTCTTTGTTACAGGAGAAAATGATTAAGTGATTCTACAGACTGGATGATTGGATGGACCTGCATTTTACTCCTAATGCAGATTTTTATATTGCTTTTTAAAAAAGTATTAAACTTTTTACTCCCTTTTGTTAAATACTCTGTTGAAATTGTTTGTATAGTATTAAATTTTGTATTTCAGTACTCTGCCCAACAAGAAATGAAAGATGTAATTGAAAAAAGCAGGGCTTAGGAGGTGTTTTCTGTGTAGAAACAAAATCAATTCAGAACTATTTTTCGTGTATAATAAAAAACTCATGGGTCAGTAAAGATTCATGCAGTGATAAATAGCTTTCGGTTGGACTGTTTCATTTCATTTTCAGGTGTAGCAAACTCACCTTCTTTTCTTACAGAAGTTTTTCTTCTGGTCTAGGATAAGAAGAATGCCCAAGTATTAAATGAGTGGCTATTCTGTAAGCTTCCACAAGGGAGGTGCAGGCAAGGCCTCTGTAGCATAAGTGTGTTGCTGAATGAGAGTTGAACTTGCTTCAGCTTGACACTTGTGTGAATCCTTATATGTGCTTGGGTAGGAGCTAGGGGTTTGTGTTTGTCCTGGAGTGACCTAAATATCTCTGCCTCCTATTTCCAGCAGACCCTCTGGCTGGTCAGTTTTACCAGGGATAAGTACAAAACCAGGGGATTGCAAGTGCTCCTGGGACGGTGTCTGGCACCACAGGTGGAGGTGAGGTGATTGGTTTGTCTGGATTTTCTCTTGCTGGTTGCAGATGGACATGGAAGCATTGTGGTGCTGCCTTTTTCTTTTTCTCCTTCCAGGAAGCTAAGTCTAATTTAAAGGGAGTTCAGATTAGAAGGATTGGTTCTGCTAAGCACGTGCTAGGACTGCAGGAAGATTGTTCTCCAGAGGGGCAGGTGAGCCCTGCGTCAGCCCAAATGCAAGAAGGAAACATCCTGTAATAAGCTTTGAGGGAGTTCTTGTCTAGGAGGCTTAAGTAAATACACCAAAGTGAAATATACTCCTTGAGTAAATGAGGCACATACTTTCTGCCAATTTTTGTCATATTCCTGATTCCTGTATTCCTCAAAAGCTGTGAACTCCAGTAGTTATCATTTAGTAGACATGAAAATCCATGCAGTTTCTTGCTTTGCATTTAAAATAATGTCTGTTAATTTTACGTACCTCTGCTGTAGCACACAAGAATTAAGAGCCAGCCCCAGCAAACTTCTCCTGGTGGGCATCTGCAGCACAGAGCAGCAGTGGCAATCAAGGATTTTTATTTAATGGATTTTTATTTTTATTTTATGGATGTGGGAGAATTATGGCTGTGCATATGAAAACAAGCACACAAAATAGGATTAAGGAATTTCCTTTCTACACCGGATGTACTTAGCAGAGATAATAGCTGACCTCTGAGGAAGCTAAAGTGGGATAGCTGCTTAGGGAGATAACATGATGCAGTGCAGCTCCTGTTTAAAGAAGCAGCAAGAGTTTTGTGCCAGAGCCTTAACTCTGCAAGTCTTTTTCTTCCTACACTGAAATTAAAAGCAAAGTGCCTTGATGGGAGTAAGGCTGGACTGTAGACTGAGGCCCTCATGATTTTTTTATCAGCTACCTGGGTTTGTTCCTAAGACGAGCATGCTTGGAAATTTGAAATGTATATACCAGTGTCACATTTCTGATGTTGATTACTAATTATAACTCACTGATTGCCAAAGCAGTGTGTAAATGCCTCTTTCTTCACTGCCTTCAGTAGGTGCTCAGAGCTGCCAGCACAGAGCCTTAGAGAGCTCATGCCATGAGGGTTTTGTGTCCTGACAAATTCTTACCTGCCTTAGTAGGGAGCCTCATCAACCAGCACTGATCCTAGGCTGGAATTCTGCATAGCAACCTGTGGTAGTGGGTCAAACAGGTTTGCTGATGTGGGGAGCTTTTCTCTGTGCTGGTATGAAGGTCCCTTTTTATCATCTTAAATAATTCTTTGGTGCGGGGGTTTGTCCAAGACTGGTTCCAGAGATAATGAGTTACTGGGAGATGATGAGCGCCAAGGTCAGAGTTTGGCCCATCCTGGATGTGTGTTCATGGATACAAATGCTTTGTTTGCTGGTGCAACTGCTGAGTTACTTTAGAGCCCATCCTCCTGGTGATAATGTGGCTTTCAGAGGGGTGGCTGAACCTAATGCAGTTGTGTGGGGACACTAAGTTTTAGAAATTTAGAAATGGGATTTAAAGGGTTGGGGTTTTTTAAACTGTTCAACCCTTGTTCAAGTTCTGACACAAATGGAATAAGAGAAGCTTTAGCAAATACAATATTTCACCTGTTTTTACTTGACAGCATGCAGTCTCTGTAGGGTGAGTATTTTGCCATTTTTTCACACTAATGCACCAATGATGTATCTTGACAAAACAAATTTCCTCTTCATTTTGACCTCAGTACCATACTTTTGTGAGGGTGATGGTATTCTTAAGAATCCATTTTTGGTCATTGTTTTAGGAGGATCTCAGAGTACTGACAACTAATCCTGTATTCTTTGGGAAATGTGCTGTACCATAGTGTGAGAGTCGACTCCCTGTTCCAGGCCCACCTGCTAACATGCAGTGGTGCCAAGGCATTAGCACCTAGCTTTGGGAAATTCAAACCCAAGGGTAAAAATAACTAGTGTTAAGATGTTAAATGAGAATTTCTCCTTAGTATCTCCTGCCTCAGGAAATTTCTAAGGAAATCCTACTAATGGATGTCCGAGAGAAAGACATACCTGTCTCTGTAGGAAAATTGTTCTTGCAGCTAAAGAGTTCATGTTCTAATGGATCATTTTTTCACTAGCAAAACCTAATCAGGATAAGAGGTCTATTACATTTTGTTTCTCCTTTCAAAGATTACAAAAAGGCTTTTTTTTTTCTCTGAAAATGTGTTTGCAGGATAGGAGCCAGCCTTCTGCTGCTGCCTGTATTAATGTGGAGGAGGCAGGGAAAGGTGACTTCAGGACAGTCTGTTTCCACGCTGGAGAGCTGCCTCCTGTGAAGAGGCAGGTTGTTGGTTTTACAGCAGTTATTGGGAAACATGGGACGAATCACATGAGAGAGAAATTGGAGCATTCCTGTTAACAACAGCAGAATTAACAATTACTTTACAGCTGTGCTGTCACAGGCTGCCAGGGTTTCTCAGCTCTGCATTAGTCATGCTCCATGGCCTCAGCCCCAGGAGTTACTCTCCAGGGTTTGGGGATTTTTTGGGCTTGGTAGCCAAGCGTGTCTGATGAAACATTTTGTGGAGGGGGCAGTTGAGAAACCATCATGGGGCGATGCAGGAGCAGCCTGTGCAGAGAGAGGGGTGTGAGCAAGGCCAGCGTGCAGTCAGCCCCTGCTCTCCCCCACTGGCTGGGCTGCCCCAGCTCTGTCTGGAGACAGCAGGGAGGGTTCCTCCCTTCAGCACAGGGTCAGGGAGCTCCCCCAGTTCTGCACTGGGAAGGCAGCAGGTGCCCTGGGGGAGGTCACTGAGCTGAGCCTTCATCTTCCCCTCCAGAGATGCCAGGTGACCCTGAACCCCGCAGGGAAGGTGGAGGTGCTGCTGGTGTGCTGGGCCAGGCTGCAGCCCAGGAGGGAGGCACAAAGCCAGAAGTTTGGCTGGAAAACACCACACAGGATTTAAGATACTCATGTATTACTGGAGCCAGAGCTCCTCCTGGCCAGCAGGGTGCTTTTGCCCACACTAGATCCAAAACATAGTCCAGTCCCTGTGGTTTAAAATCTCATCTTCTGTGCTGAGCTTGACAGTAAAGGGCAATTGAACAGCCAGGTCTGGTTGTATTTTAATTAACCATTAGCTCCAGTGGTGCTTGAGGGTTGCTTGTTTTATCAGGTGGACTGGGAGATGGGCTGAGACCACCAGCTCTGGGATGGGTAAACAGCTTACAGTGTGAGCTGGTAATGGGAATTGGTTACCTGAATGGAGATGAGGGACTGGCCATAACACTGAGTGGTACTTAAGGAATAAATATTTGATTATGTGAGAGAGGAGCAGGAATTTCAGTAAAAGACATGAGAGAGATGAAGGTAAGGTGCAGAAAAACAACACATACGACAAAACTAGGACTGTAAACATGGAGCAGTTGACAATATAATTATGTAGCTGCAACTAAAAACAGGAATTAGACCTTGTTCTTTCAGACAAAACAGGAAAATCACACTGAAGTCCTACATGCTGTACATGACATTACATTTCCAGGGTCAAACCCTTACCACTGACAGTGGCATAAATCTAAAGAGATGTTGCCATAATTACTAAAACAGAGGTTTATCAGGATGCTGTAAGGTCTCTTATTAGCCTCCCCTTTATGCTCTTAAAAAAGGGGGACTTGGTAGCTGGGACCATAACTGAAAAATCATTACTAGTACCTTGCTGTTACTAAAAAAGAAGCAGAAATTTCCATTTTATTTACTTGCTCTGGGTGTCATGTGTCAAAAGCCCTCAATATTTAGTTTTAAAAATGTATATATTTTAAATAAAAGTAGGAAAAGTGGAATCGGTTTTGTATGAAGTCATAGGACATGGATAAATGGGAACCAGTTAATATGATTTATTTGTACTTTTACAAGGTTTTTGAGAAGTTCCTTGATAAGAGTGGCTTCTAAATTATTTGGTGAGGCTGGAAGAATCACAGCTCATTGCAACAAAAACCTCTAAGTTATTCCATGCCACGTTCTCTGCTGACCATCTCTGTAGCATGAATGATCACGTTTCCCTCTCCAACATTATTTTGTGAGTTGGTCTAGCCCCACCCATTAGTTAATCACAGAATTAATGCTCCTTTAGCCTGTGAAGGATTTGAAAGGAGGGGAGCATATCTAACCTTGCAGCTGTTTGGAGCTGGGCTCAGCAGGGAAGACCTGTCCAGAAAAGCCAATTGGAGCATCAAGAAATGGATGATCAGTCAGGAGGTGTCTTTGTGAAAAGAAGCCCTGTGGGTTCCTCTGGTGCAGCCAGTGCTGAGTAAGTAGAGAATAAGCCAGGCTTTCTGACAGCTCATGTTTCTTAGACATCACTGAACACAGCACTATGACTTAAATATTGAAATTAACTGCCCCTAAGCACGGTCTCACTTTCCCTGTTAAATTAAAGGACAGGTTTAAATTAACAAAAAAAAATTACATTTGAGGTTCCAGGTCTGAAACCTGGCTTGCTTCTGCTCTTTTGTCCTCTCCCAGAGCAGGGGAAGAGCCAGTGGTAATTTGTATCACCTCTTCTGCCATTCTAGATCCTTCAGGCTGCTTTGTGCTTCATTTCTCCCTCCTATTCTCCCACATGGGTATTGTCAGTGGAATTGGGTGGAATGCAG